AGTGTAATAGCTATGTCGCTAAACTGCCATGTAGTCAACTGCAGTTTGAGTCCGGGACCCGGTGGCTTAAACTCATGCCGGCACATGTGCATGCGTGCCCAAGATCCCGAGAGGAGAATGGAGGAGAAGGGATAGTGTGTGACCATCCCCCCAGAGGGTGATTTCTTGCTTTCTGTCTCTCTGTCTCCGTCTTTCTGGCGAGTGCACACGCCCTACAGCCAAGACATCGCCAAAAAAAAAAAAAAAAAAGAAAAAGAAAGTATTTTCTTAAGCCAATTTTATTTTATGCACAATATTTTTATAAATAATATTATAGACATTTTATAAAAATAATAAATTTGAATTTACATTAAATTTCAACTCGATTTTAACATGCATTTGCTAGATTTTTGACAAGAGATCTGCTTGATTAGAAATAAAAGGAATTATTTTATGATATGTGAAAAGAAAGCTTGGAAAATTTTACATTTACTTAAACACTTAAGGTAAACTATAATAAAAAGAGCATTTGATCTTTACTTTTTAAAAAATTACTTATTTAATTTTATTTATTATTACTATTTTTAACTCAACTAGAGAGGGACAGAGAGAGAGAGAGGGAAAGTGAGAAGCAAGCTCCAGGACTTGAGCCACAACTGGCCAGATGGGATTCCAGTACCTTAACCACCACACCACTGGCCAGCCCTGACCTTCACTTTTTCTATCCTTTTTCACAAAAATAAAACATGATGTCAGTATTATTTTGATAACTAGTATAATAATGAAAGCAAGTAAATAAAACATGCATCACACTTATTTATTTGGTCTCTTTAGGTTGTAGTCCTGGGTTAGGTCTGGATGTTTTAGAACAAGAAACCAGGTCTGCTTTGCCTTTCTATCTAATTTTACAAAAAACTAGGACAATGGCAACATGTCATCACTGAGGGCATGCTGCAAAAGATTTATCTTCCTGTGTTCAAACAAATCATTAGATTTATCTTTTTTGGTATCATAGGTCTTCATTGAGTCAAATAAACCGTATTTTGTTTACTACACTGGAAAGATATAAATGCTAAATACTGTTTAACTTTATTTTATGAGAGTGAATATTATATTCTTCTTCCCAGTGACCTTTCATTGCCTTGTGAATAAAGAAATAATTTGCTAGACAGAAATAGCAGCAAGAAAGTGATGGAATTTATAAGTAGACCAACTATCCTAAAACTGAGAGATAAATATGATGGTTTCAGAATAAAAATAGAGAAGGTTTCTGTACCTCATTGTCAAAACTTTTACAAACTTTATACTATACAGTAAATAACACGTAAGATTTGAATGGTAGATAGCTCATCAATCTTCCGTAACAGAAAAATAAAGCTGAAACCAGAGATAAATATGATACTTTTCAAACTCTTAAGAATTTATTCTCTAAAAAGTCTCAAAGAGAGGAGATAGTAAAATGGATAAGAAGATTACCTTTTACTAGAGAACAAAATAACCCAATAGCACCAGAAGGAAATAGCACAGCACTGTGGTCAAGTCTGGAGCCTTGGGAACTTGGTAGAACACTTTACAGCTATGTAGTCTGGAGCCTTGGGAACTTGGTAGAACACTTTACAGCTATGTAACTTGGGAAAGTCACCTACTTTCTGAACCTCAGGTTCTTGTATGAGGTGTTGATCACATCACTTCCTATCTCTTAGTGAAAGGACGAGAACTAAATGAGACTAGAGGTGTATAACATCTCGCACTGTGCCTAGCATATTCTGAGCACTTGATAAATGGTAGCCATTATTAAGTGCAGTCAACAGTGTTTTATTACCAGATCCGTGTAGGCCATGGTGGTATATAGTAAAATTGTGGCCACTCAGCAAAAATTTTTAAAAAGACAGACCAATAAATCATCATCTAATGTCTCTTAAAGCTTCTGGACTATCTCTTTCTGAAATTTTTTGGACTTAATATTGTATCAAAAATTTGTTGTTAGAGAAATAGTTTAAAAATCAAGTGTCTGGGGCCAGCAGGTGGTATGGTGGTTAAGGTTGGACTACCACATGGATGAACGTGATTTGAGTCCTAGACCTGTCAACTTGCTTTTTCACTTTCCCTCTCTCCCACTCTTCCTCACTCTCTCTCTGGTGGGTGATATATATATATATATATATATATGTATGTGTGTGTGTGTGTGTGTGTGTGTGTGTGTATTTAAAAATCATGTGTTCAGAGCTTTTGCTTGAGATGTGGAAAGCTGGAAGGAATATAGCTACCACGATTCCAAGAAGAAGATAATCTATGAAATGTTAACCTTCCCTCAATGCATCAGAATGCTGAGGGAAAGCCTGAAGCTGAGGACAGACAGAAACAATAAAAAAACACTCAAGAAACACAACTACTTCCCTAAGCACAATTTGTCACTACAGAAATTCCAACCCTGAAGGAAACGACAGCAAAAACAAAGCCCAAATCCAGGTCAAGTCATACCTATATTGACTTAACCTCTCCATGCTAATAACCTACCACGTGCTTAGTGTGGGTTCATTTAGGAGACACAAATGCCACTTACCTCAGACATACTGCTCTATACCAAGAGGTCTGGCAAACAAAATGATAGGAAATGGAAAGACGTGAGGGGGGAAAAGAAAAACATGCTGTCAATAAAATCTACAAAACCAGACTGTGATATGATCCAGATATTGGAAGTTACAAAAGGAATTTAAAAGAACTAAGATTAATGTGTTAATCTGATTAATAGTTGAAAATAAGTATAACAAAGAAGAAATGACAGTTCAAGGGAGGAAAAGGTGTTTAGTGTAGAACATGGTGCCAAAGCCATTAGATAACCATGTGAAGAAAAGTGAATCTTGATTCATATCCCAGACCATAAACAAAAATGAACTAAACACACATGTAATGTATACCACTTACAGAAGAGAAAGGAAGAAGCCTTTGTGACCTTAGGCTTGACAATGATTTCTTAGGTATAACACACAATACAAAAGGAAGAAACAATAATTGGTTTTCATCAAATTACAAACTTCTGCTTTTTAAATTTCACTGTTAGAGGATGAACGGACAAGCCAGCCTAGTCATCTAGTGGTTAAGAGAGTAGGATCCCACTTTGGATGACTGTGGCTGGAGTCTTAGACCTGATGGCTTGGAAAGCATGCTGGGCACATGTGTATGTATGCTCCAAATCTTGACAGGGTAGAGAAATGGAGAAGAGACTGTAAATGACCATGTTCTACTGGGGTTCTTTCTCCCTCTCTGACTCATGTCTTCGGTCTCTCCCTGTCAAGTGTATGCACCCTCTGACAATTAAAATAAAAACTTTTTAAAAAGAATGAATGAAAAGACAAGCTAGAAACGGGAGGAAAATATTTGTAGAGCACATACATAATAATGATTTTCTAGTTAGCATGTAAAAATAACACCAAAAACTCATTAGTAAAAGACGTAAACCAAATTAAAAATAGACAAAGGCTCTGGGTGGAAATGAAATTTCAACAAAAACACAAGACTAGTAAATACATGAAAGACTGACTATAAGTCAGAAGAAAATACATAAACTAAGGCCCAGAAAGAAAAAGAAAAGTAAAGCAAAGGGCATAGGAGACACGACATTCATAGCAAAAATTCTTCAAAATTGTGTAATTGAAGACTCAAAAAGAGAGAAAAGAATTTGGATGAGTCAATATTTGAAGGTAAAACAACCATATATTTTCCATAGCAGATAAAAAACATCAAGCAACAAGTTCAAGAAACCAAACTGTTGCAGAATATAGAAAGAAAGATACTGATTCTTTTTCGCAAAGCTAGAATAAACTTCATACCAACACCCTACAAGGACATTATAAAAAAGAGAAAATAAAGTCTGGTTCCTGTCATGATGTTAGATGCAAAATCTAAAACATAATATGATGGGGGTCTTCAAAAAGTTAATGAAAAAATGTGTATTAAAAGACTTTGGGGGGACCAACAGTTAGTGTAATGGCTATGTCGCCAAACTCTCATGTAGTCTACTGCGGTCTAAGTCCCAGACCCAGTGGCTTAAACTCATGCCAGGTGCATGTACATATGTGCCCAAGATTTCGAGAGGAGAATGGAGAAGAAGGGTGGCATGGCCACCCCCCCCAGGGTGTGTGTTCTCGCTTTCTGTCTCTCTGTTTCTCTCTGTCTTTCTGGTGAGCACATGCATCCTATGGCAAAAACCTCTCCTCCCCTCCCCCCCAAAAAAGACTTTGGGGACCAGCAGATGGTGTAATGGTTATATGGCTGGACTCCCATGTAGTTGACTGCAGTGTGAGTCCTGGACCTGGTGGCTTAAAACTCACACCAAGCATGTGTGTGTGCATGCTGAAGATCCCAAGAGGATAATGGAAGAGAAAGGATTGTGGCCTGGCCATCCCTTCCCAGCCTGCAAGTGATTTCTTGCTTTCTGTTTCTCTGTCTCTCTGGAGAGCACATATGTCCTATAACAAAAATCTCTTAAGAACAAAAAAAGAGAGAGAAAGGAAAGACTTGCATGGCTTTCAATTGTCTTTCACCAAAATAAACGTATACTTTATTCATTTTTCCATGAACTTTTGAAGACCCTGCTTATTAGAAAATAAAATATAGGAAGATAGATAAAAATAATGTAACATTTTCAAAGGATCTCATTTCAGGAATGTAAGGTGGTTGATTGTTTGATAATTATTTTAGCTGATCATCATAACTGACAAAAAATCATATGATTAACTTGCTGAAGAAAAAGCATTTGACAAATGTCAATATTCATTTATGATAAAAAATTTTGGTAAATCAAGAATAAAAGTAAAATTTTTCATTCAAACAAGATGAACTACTAGGGCTAGCAGGTGGCATGGTGGTTATGGTACTGGAATCCCATGTGGCCGATTTCAGTTCAAGTCCGGACCTGGTGGTTTGCTTTCTCACTTTCCCTTTCTCTCTCTTTCTCTGGACAACTTTAAAAACTAGTAATACCAAATGGAACTAAATAAATAATTCATAAAAAAAGATGAGTGCTTGCTTCAGCAGCACATATACTAAAATTGAAATGATACAGAGAAGATTAGCATTGCCCCTGCACAAAGATAACATGTAAATTCATGAAGTATTCCATATTTTTAACTTCATGTTTATTTCTTGGGACTTCAAGATGAACTTACACCCCTCCTCACCCCACCTGGAGATCAGTTCAAGCCAGCAGCATTGCCAGACGCCAGGCTGCCTGTGGCTGCAGACCCTAATGTCTGGGACCCATCACTCATCCCTGGCCCTTTCTCCACTTGCCTTTGGACTCTGAATTTCAGTGTTTTGAATAGCATGTGGTGATTTCTTTTCTTTTCTCCTGAGGTGAAGTTTATTAGTTCAGTTGGAGGCTCACCACTCCTTAGAAACAGGGAAGACTTCTGGGTCACCCAGGACCAGTGACAATAGTGCATGGTATAGTGAGAAACAGGTAGGCAGACCAGTAGAGAGATCGTCAATTTTCTAATTCTGCACACCTTTTAACACTCAGAGATATCTTGAATAAGTTAGGAAGGAACATATAGATAACCAGATGACTAGGAACAATCGCAGAGGCTCAAGAAATATGAGCAATCAATAAAATGCCTCTCCCCCAAGGCAAATCATCAAGCCCACATCACCCATAGTCAATACTATGGATGTGTTGGACATGTCAGATAATCAATTAAGAATACTTGTAATGACCAAACTAACAGAGATGGATGAGAAAAGAGACAATGAGCTCCAAGAGATGAGGAAGTCTTTTCATGATTTGAAAGAAGAAACAGACACATTAAAAAAGAACTAGATAGAACTTCTAGAGTTGAAGAATGTGACACAGGAAATCAACCCCCCCCCCTTGAAAGTATTAAAAGTAGATTAGATCAGGCAGTAGATCGAATCTCAAATGTAGAAGACAAAACATCTGACCTAGAAAAAAGTATCAAGAAGATTGAGAAAACAACCATGAAAAATGAGGATAACATATGGGGAATACTGGATACTATCAAGCACTCCAACATCCAGATAATTGGGATCCCAGAAGAGGAAGAAAGTAACAAGGACATTGTTAATTTATTCCATGAAATCTTAGAAGAAAACTTTTCAAACCTAGAAAGGCATTCAAATATCCAGACCCAAGAAATACATAGGATTCCATGTAGAATCAACCCAAGAAGATATTCTCCAAGGCACATTACAGTCAGATTGGCAAAAACAATAAAGACAAGATACTAAAGTGAGCAAGAGGGAAATGTCAATTACTTACAAAAATCACCCCATCAGGCTAACATAAGCTCTCTCAGCAGAAACAATGCAGGCAAGGAAAGAATGGGGAAATACAGTTAAAGCAATGAATGAAAAACAATTTCAATTGTTTTCAATTTAATTGTATTAAATTGAATAGTATACCCTGCAAGATTATCTTTCATATAGGAAAAAAAGATAAAAACATTCTCGGATAAACAAAATCTGAAGGAATTTACCAACTCCAGATCAGCTCTTCAAGAGGTTCTGAAGGTAGTGCTATACCAGGTAAACTAAAAAGTCAGATGGACAGTTAATGAAAAGCAACCAATAAAATGGCTCACTTAATGATAGGAACAGGTCTGGAAATATCAAAAATAACATTAAATGTTAATAGATTAAATTCTCCAAAGAAGAGACGCAGATTGGCCAAATGGATAAAAAAACAGAAACCCTCTATCTGTTGCCTACAAGAAATGCACCTTATGGAAAAAGATATGTGAAGACTAAAAGTGAAGAGCTGGAAAAAGATATTTCATGCAAATGAAAATCAAAAAAGGGCTGGAATTGCGATATTGATTTCAGACAAAATAGGCTTCAAGACAAAGGCAGTAAGAAGAAACAAAGAAGGGCATTATATAATAGTAAATGGGGTAATCCAGCAAGAAGACATAACACTTATAAATATCTATGCACACAACTCAGGAGCACCTAAATATGAGACTGAAGGACTGCTGGAGCTAAAAGGAGAGATAGAGAGAAACATAATTTCTGGGGATCTCAACACCCCATTATCTCCTTTAGACAGATCTTCTAGGCAAAAAATCAATAGGGAGATATAGGACCTAAATGATACTGTAAATCGAATGGGCTTGATAGATATCTATAGAACATTCTACCCTAAGACCACAAATATACGTATTTTCTCATCCCAACATGGAATCTTTTCAAAATTGACCATATGTTAGGATGTAAATCAAGCCTTTACAAATTCAAAGGCATAAAAACTATATCCAGCATCTTCTCTGACCATGATGGAATTAAACTCAAGATTAATTTCAAGAAATACCCTCAAAAATACACAAACACATGGAAACTGAACAACCTACTCCTGAATGACTTCTTCACTACTGAAGAAATTAAGTCTGAAGTAAAAAAAAATTATGAAAACAAATGATAATGAGTACACAAGTTTCCGTAGTGTATGGGACATAGCAAAAGCAGTCATAAGAGGGAAATTCATAGCAATTAGTGTGCATAAGAAAAAGATGGAAAGGTGGCAAATAGATAACCTAACATCGGGCCTCAGGGAATTGGAAAAACAACAACAATAATAAAAAAAAAGTGCCAGATGAAAAGAAATAATAAAGGTCAGAGCAGAAATAAATGAAATAGAAAATAAATAAACCATACATAAAATAAATGAAAGCAAAAGCTCATTCTTTGAAAAGATTAAAAAGATCGATGCACCATTGTCTAGACTGAAAAAGGAGAAAGAAAGCAGATAAATCAAATACGTGATGAAACAGGCAACATTACAACAGACATAATAGAAATACAAAATGTCATTATAGGATTCTATGAGTGACAATATGCCAACAAACAATAGAACTTGGAGGAGATGGGCAAATTCCTGGATACATGTAGTTTACCAAGATTGAATCAGGAGGACATAGAAAGCCTGAATAGACCCATAATAACTCAGGAGACTGAAACTTTAATAAATAACCTCCCAAAAAGAAAAGCCCAGGTCCAGATGGTTTCACTTCTGAATTCTACAAAATTTTAAAGGAAGAGTTAATCCCTATCCTACTCAAATTATTTCTGAAGATTCAAAAGGAAGGAAACCTTCCAAATTCATTTTATGAAGCCTCCATCATCCTCATTCCCAAAACAGATAAGGACATGATAAAAAAGGAAAACTACATACCAATATCATTGATAAATATAGTTGCAAAAATTCTCAATAAGATACTCACAAATTGTATCCAATGGTACATAACAAAGATAATTCATTATTACCAGGGATGCAAGGTGGTTCAACATACACCAGACCATAAATATAATACATCATATTAACAGAAACAAAGATAAAAACCATATGATAATTTCAATTGATGCAGAGAAAGCATTTTGTAAAATATAACATCCTTTCATGATTAAAATCCTCAGTAAGATTGGTATAGAAGGGACATTTATCAACAAAATAAAAGCCATCTATGAAAAACCTACAGCTAACATTACACTGAATGAGAAAACTAAAAGCTTTTCCATTAAAAAATGAATGGGGAAAGCTAAGAGCAAGGCAACCCTTTTTCTCCACTGCTTTTTAATACAGTGCAGTAAGTTTCAGCTAATACAATCAGAAAAGAGGACAATATAATAGGTATTCAAATAGGCAAAGAAGAGTTTAAAATATCTTTGTTTCCAGATGACGTAATGGTATACTTAGAAGACTCAAAGGTTTCCAAAAAGGTCTAGAAGTAATATATGAATACAGTAAAGTGGCAGGATACAAAATCAACATTCAAAAATCTATAGCATTTCTATATGTAAACAACAAGTTGAATGAAGTAGAGATGAAGAAAGGAATCCCTTTCACCATAGCCACAAAATGTATAAGATACCTAGGAATAAACCCGTCTAAGGAAGTCAAAGACCATGCAAAGAAAATTATGAAAATCTTAAAAAAGATATTAAAAGTGACATTAAAAAGTGGGAGGACATCCCATATTCCTGGACTGGAAGAATTAACGTAATCAAAATTGCAATTCTACTGAAGTTAAACTACATAATGCAACTGCAATCAAAATACAAGAATTATTCTTCACAGATCTAGAAAAGACAATGATAGAATTTGTCTGGAATCATAAAAGACCTCGTATTGCCAAAGCAATCCTGTGCAAGAAGAGTGGAGTGGGAGGCATGTCACTCCCTGATCCCAAGATATACTATAAAGCTGTGATCCTCAAAACAGCATGGTATTGGCACAAAACAGACATGTAGACCAATGGAATAGAATAGAGACCCCAGAAATAACCCCCAAAGCTTACAGCCAACTGATTTTTGACAAATAATACCTGTCAATCCATTGGGAAAAGGAAAATCCCTTTAGTAAATGGTGCAAGAAAACTGGGTATTCACCTCCAGAAAGATGAAACTGAGCCCCCATCATTTTTTTTTTTTTGGAGAGGTTTTTGCTATAGGGCGCGTGTGCTCACCAGACAGACAGAGAGAGACAGAGAGACAGAAAGCGAGAAATCACCCCCCAGGGTGGATGGCCACGCCGCAATCCCTTCTCTTCCATTCTCCTCTCGGGATCTTGGGCATGCACACACATTGTCCCAGAATGAATTTTAAGCCACCGGGTCCAGGACGTGAACCACGGTCAACTACATGGGAGTCCAGTGACATAGCCATTATGCTAACTGCTGGTCCCGAGCCCCCATATTTTACCATTAACAAAAGTCAACTCAGAAAGTATCAAAGATCTGAACCTAAGACTTCAAGTGGAAAATACTGGAGAAACTCTGGGAGACATTGGTGTAGGCAAAGACTTCTTAAGTAAGGCTCCCAAAATACAGGCAATAATCCCTAAAATAGACAAGTAGGACTATATTTGACTCAGACGTTTCTGCACAGCAAAGGATACAGTAAGACGTGTGAATCGACAATTCTTAGAATGGGAGAATATTTTTGTAAAATATGCCTCAGACAAGGGACTGATAACCAGGATACACAGGGAACTAAAGCACCTCACACACACACACACACACACACACACACACACACACAAAAGATTAACCCAATTAAAAGATAGGAAAATTAGCTGAACAAAAATCCAGAAATCTCTCTAAGGAAGACATACAAACA